TTGCAAAAACACATCATGTCGTTGATCCTACTCAAAGAGCAGCCCCACAAACAAAATGACCAAAAACGAAGTGGTGGCAAATGAGCAAAGGACAAGCAACAGCAGGAAAGGTTGGATAACAGGTATTTCTGTAAATCCAACTCTAACACAAAGGAATAAAACAGACACAGTCTCAGTGGAATAACAGCCACTACTAAGAAGTTATATATAATTCAGTGGATGACAAATTCATCTCCACTTCCAGAAGCAAAAAGAAATATGCTTTAACCTAGTTTGAAAGACAGGCATGAATGCTGTGGATGTTTCCTAACCATATGCTACCAACAGCTTTAACAATCTAACTCTTAATTTCAGTCTCAGTACTGGGTTAGATAAGCATGCCAAAAATAAATATTCTCTCCCAAAGGCAATCTTAAGCCAGATTGCCAGAAACAATTCAGCAAGTCCTTGATTCCAATCAGTAATCCAACAGACTTTACTGACCCACTAATTCAACATACGCACACAGTCTACAGTATGCCAATAACAGTTACGTTATTGTTACAAACCCTTAAATGGAAGTGGTTCTAGATATCAGTTAAAGTCTTAGCCCTTGAACTCATGTAATAAAATTACAGTGAAAGACTTTTTCGAAAGGCAACATTTTGAAAATACAAGCAGTGCACCACTGAAAAAAGTTTGATGCAAATAAAACAAATCTAATTCCAAGGTATAGTTTTTTTTATAGTAAAGTGAAGCCTGCAAAATCTTTTTTTTTTTTTTTTTTCAACAATGGAAAACTCAATGTGCAGACGACAAGCAACTGCTGAACAATCTTGCATTCACAGTGTTATCACAGTAAACGTGTTAAAGTAGCATATCCCTATAAACCTGTATGAAATTCATGCAGAAACTAAAAATCAGACTAAGAGAAAAGGTGTAACCTGAGCAAATACTCAGGTAATTTTCCTGAATTCATCAGACTCACATTGGTAAACATCTTAAACATTTTCTATTTCAACAGATTGTGATTTTTATTTTTAAATTACAACTTCACCTACCCCAGCTACCATAAAAGACCTGGTAAATAAATCACATAAGACAATAAATACATGTGTTTGAAAGATGTGGCAGTGTTTTGCTTTTATTTCAAGAATAACAGTGCTAGAATATCCAGGAAAACAGCTCATACAACAATCACTTGAGTGGTTTGGAAATTCTGGAACTAACACGTCACATTTAACAGTCAACACTGCTATAACTGGAAGGAATTCTGGTGGTTTGGACATACGTGGAGCAGGGAGGATGGTTACCTATGTGCCATATGCAAAACTTATGATAAAACACATGGACAACTCTGAAATAAAAGAATTGTACATTCAGCAGAAGAGACATCATTATTACCAAAAGGAGCCAGGCAGGTAATTGAAATCAAAATAAACATAAATTTAGCTTATCTTTACTTTAAAACAAAAATAATCCTTCTTCAGTATATCTTAAGAAAAGTTCCTACTGAAAAATCTTCAAAAATGAAGATGACATCTCCACTGTTAACTTAATATACCAGGTAAACCATGAGAAAAAATATTATTTCTGCTAGTTTACTTTAGTAACTTGTAACTAGTTACAGTTGAACATACTGATGCTTATGTGAATCAAGATCTTTCTTGCTTATTATGACTACCAAATACAATCTGTATCAGATTTTGCTTGAACATGGAAGATGTTTTCTGCTTTCTTTAAAATATAGCAAACCAGCACATGAAGAAATGAGACCTTTGCGAGAAACACTGAACAAACATTCTTCATTTTTGGCTATGAATTTTCTTACATCTATATTGGGAAAATAACTGAAGTACCTTCTAAAAATTGTTGGGCTTTCTTTGCTTGTTTTTAACAGCTTCTATCACAGATTTCTCAAATTAGGCAATTTTATTCTGAGGTTGGTTTTTTTCCCCCCAACTGAGACTGGTTTGTTGGTATTGTTTCTAGACTGCAACATCTTTATTATGATCTTTACAGCTCTAAGGAAAAAAAAAAAAAAGCTGTCAGTTTCTTTTGAAGAAAGACATCAACCCTGAGGCATGAAGACTCTGTTCTGTTGATCACAATAATCATATTAAGTAAACCAATAAGATACTGGTACATTGCTTCACAGTTTGAATTTGGAGCTCTAGATGTTGATTCATGAGGTATGCACAAACAGACATGAAGACTTACACAGAAAATATTCGGAAACAAAAGCTACAGAGGAGGATTGATCTCACTGAAATAACTCCACAGAATTGATAGATCTTTCCACATCTCACACCAACAGAACAAAGCAGTTGGGCTGCTGGATTGTCCCACTGCTATTAAAATCTTGTAACACATCTAGAATCTGAATTCATAGAGGTGTAATGAAGGCATTCTGAACAAGAAATTTTCTTGTTTAATTATAGCTTCATAGAAATAAAAGTCTATATCATCAGTAAATACAACCTGCTGCCTTCTCTCATCTGCATCCTATGAAAAAAAAAAAAAATCAATAACAAAATTCAAATTACATTTACCATACCAGTGTTTTGCTTTCATCTCCTTACCCTTTTCACACTTCTCAAAGTGTATCTTCAAGCTAGTAATATTAGCCACTTCAGATTACATAGCATAACTTCATCTTCAAGTACCATATGAAAAGAATTACATTGGTTCCTGCAGTTTCTTGTCCCAGTTGATGATTTACATTAAATAATATCCAGTTATTATGTGCTTATATTTCTAATTGCTTACATTTTAAACTTTGATACTTGTGCAGATTTTGACAGCTTAAATGTATTTATTGTTCATATAAATAACAAAGTTAATAAAGTGTGCAAAGAATAAGGTCATACTCATTATGGTGAATGGAGATAAAAGGAACAAATTTATAATTGAAAAATGCTGTCTTGACCTTAGTGGCAAAATAGTGGCATAGAATTTAGAACTTAACCCTGCTACCATGTAGTTACCCTTAAAAAATACTAAGAATTATTATTCATAACTCAAAGAAAAAACTTGTGAAATGAAAGCTTCAGAAAAACATGCAAAAAAGTCACATGTGGTCAAAAGTTCCTTGTCCAGAGGAGCATAAATATAAATAATTGTAAGAACCAATTGTGAGAAGCAGTTTGCCTGTTTATCTAGATTCTTTTCTTGGGAAAACCCTGGAGAAAAAGTGTTTACCTCTGCACTCCAAAGTGGGGGAACATTTTTTATTTATTTTATGTTAAAATTCTTCTCTCTCTAAAATAGAGAAGAAATTTGAAATATGTAATGAATATACTTTCACATTTTCTTTAAGTCAATTCATAAAAGTTACTCAGTTTGTGTCCATGGTATTCTTGCCTAAGTCTGAAGCTCCTCTTAGCAGACATTAAATCCAGACGGTTGCTCCATGTGTCTAATGTTAATTCTGTCACCTTTATTTGACTCAGAATGGTAAACCTAAGATATTTAAAAATTAAATCCTTAGTAAGAGAAACACAATGGATAGCCCGATCAGGTAGGTATTTCTAAAACACTTTCATTACCTCTTTAGAAAGGTGGGAATGGAGAAATGTCCTTCTCTTATTGTTGTACAAAATAAAGAGGGTCAGGTCAGACTGTGCCAGCTCACTGTCTCACACATAATGGTTCTAGCCAACACCCTTACTTCACTTATTTCTCTGTCAAGTCTCCCATTCCCTCACTATTGCATCAGATTGTCATGCAGGAATTTCTCTCTCCCACTGCCAATTTCTCTCTTCCCCCACAGACATTTTGCTGTCCTCTGTGTCATGTTAGACATCAGGAAACATGCACTGAAAACACAGAAAAAGAGTCTAACCATCATTTCTGTGTGGCACAGTATTCATGAGGAACAAGGTCTAAGAGGCACCCCAGCAGAATTTCGTAAAACTTTAGTTTTCCAATTTATTTCAAATTCTAATTCACTAAAACATTCCTGCACAGAAACAAAATACTGTGAATTTATACCCACAGTAGGCTCAACTATCAGATGTATCTTTGGAGCATGCTGAGTTTCTCCCAGGGAGGTCTGTAAATCACAAGCAGAAACCTATTGAGGTAGATATTCAGTTGGTGCATATAGAACATATGCAGTCTGCTTGGTTCCTAGAGATTAGAAACTGAAAAAAAAAAAAGCATGCTCTGTGGAGACAATCTTAAGAATACAGAACATAACGTATAGCAAAAAGTCATGACTCCCAACTTCAAGAATATTTCAAGACTAATTTAAATTTTGAAACAGAAAAGGCTCATGAAACGTGCTCCCTAAGTTTCTTCTCCTACATGGATAAAACATTTTACACAGAGCTTCTCAAAAAAAAAAAAACCAACAAAAAAACTGGCATACTTTGAGCCCAGAAGAACAGATATTTTACAAGCTTCCATCAAACTGGAAACAGTTTTTACACACAAACATAAGGTAATCATAACTAAAGCTTTAACAGCAGCTCCACAGCTGCATTAAGCAATCTTATGATCGCTAAAACCAAGGAGATTTTAATCTTTATGCTTTTGAGAGTTATAAGAAAAGATTATTTACACTGTTAAATTTAATACTACCACTAGCTTTTCCTTCCCTCAGTGGCAGTGATCGCTGTCAACCCTATAATGTTGCATATCACAACATGATAAGCAGAGAAGATAGCATTAAGAGCCTGTGGTTTTTTTTCTTACCCATTCTAAACCCCTAACATCCTACATGGAGTTGTAAACAATTTCATTTACAGAAAAAAATAAAAAATGAGTTCCCACAGGTAAAAGAAGTCCGTTCAGTAAGGGCAACAAAGTACACAAAAGCAGTTATAAAATTTTGGCATAGGTCTACTTGCATGGTCCATGTTGAGGAACTGTATGGAGAGAATGTGTACAAAAGACAGAAGGGAGTAGGGGGTGATACAGTTGGTCACAAGATTAAGCTAAATGTCCAGAATTCTAGATAAAAATAAGACCAAGACTATTTCAAATCTATAAGCAAACAGCACTTCATAATAGCTAGCCACAGTGCACTGAATTCCTTTATTTCCTTAGCAGTTTTCTTGAGATGCATTAGATGATGGCACTGCCATGCAGCCAGATAATACAAGAATTATGAACTTTATCAGTACAGCAATTTTACTCTTAAGAAAACAGCTAATAAAGTCTAATGAACAAGAAGATCTTTACCAGGAGCAAAAAAAGTCAAATTAAGTTTATGCCATAGATGTTCTTTCTCTCCTTTAAAATCCTATTAATATTTCTAGATTCATTCCATTGCAGGGGTAGGGAGAAGAAATAAATCAAATACATACAGAAACACACTCAAATGGCACTCGTTTTTTGTACAATTAAGCTTTAGTGAAAAATATACATCTTAAAACAAATGAAGTACAAATGTACAAAAATTCTTGAACTCATAAAAAATATATATAATACACTTTGCTACAGAGATATAAAACATTTAAAGTTTGCTAATCCTTTTTGATGACAGTAAAGTGATTTAAAGTCTAGAGGACTCCTGCTCCTCATCACTGCAATCAGATTTAAAGCAGACCTGCAAGAGAAGACAGAAACATAATTCAGTTGCAAAGATAACACTATTGTAGGGTGCTTGTTTTTTTTTTAACCTTTAAAACCAGCTGAAGGCTTGCAAGCCGTGCTCGTATTTTTAGGAACCTTCTCAGCAGAAAGGCCTTAGGACAGTATAAACTGATTCAGCTTGGTAAAACCATGCTAAGACACAAGCTTTAAGTTCAGTTATGTGAGATTATTACTATACTTAACCATTCCTTCTATTCCTTCAATATAAATGTGGAAAAAGTGAATTCAGAAAGGTGAACTAAAAATAGCAGCACTCTTATACATTCCATTAGCACTGTACCATTTCACAGAGGCAAATTACCAGCTGATGACAAAAATCATCATCATGCAATTTTAATGTGGCTCTGTTGTGGCTATTAGCAAATTTAAAATTCTATTTCTGCTTGAAAGCCAAAGAAATCCTAAAGAAGTTCCTCCTTCTGAAATGTACTAAGCTTCTGAAGAGAATTCTACTCCGTAGTGCAGGCATACTGAGTAAGCAGAATTATGTACAGTATCTTCAACTGAAAGTCTTTACAAACAGTTTACTTCTCAACAGCAATAAGCAAGGATATTGTCATGCCTTTTAGACAGTATTTCGGTATTCAGCTCATATAACTTCCACTTCTACTTTTTAATAAAGTTTTTCTGTAAGAGAGGCTGTGCATTATCAGAAGTTATGTAAGCATATGTTGTTTTGGTAAAGGAATTAAAGCTTTGTGCTGAAGTATATTAACATTTGTTTCATAACAGTTCTTCACACTCATTCATTTAGGAGTTATCTTTGCATAGCTTAATACACCACAATGATTTACTGGCAGTCCATCTTTGTAAAGGAAGAAGTACTGTATTGCTGTGCCCAATCACACTAATTTTGGAGTTCACTATTCAGTTCTATACAAGTTTTTGCAAAAGGAGCCCTCAATTATCTCTCAAATCATTTACTCATAACTTCTACAAAAACTATCAAAGGAGCACGACTGAAGTTAGTATCTCCAGAAAAGAAAGATGTGCAATACAGCGTTAGCAACATACAGTACTTCTTTCCCCTCCACAGGCAACAGCTAGCAAGCTAGAGAAAGCAGAATGCTGAAGGAGGAAAAAACTCCTGGATTTTATATGGGTTGACACAGTTTCTGAAATGCAGTGCAGGGATGAAGGCATAAGCCAGGTTTCATTAGTTTAAGCATTCAGGGAAAAAAGTTTTTCCTATCATAAATCAACTTTAAAAACGCTCAAATTGAACAGATTTTAAGGTCTTACTGGTAATTTTCTTATCAAAGAAAAGAAAACACCCTTACCTCTCCACTAAAAAGTCTGTGAAAGAAGCCTCTCTTTGGTTTAGGAGACCTCTCTCTGTCTGGTGACACAGTACCATCAGTTTCACATGCATTAATATCTTCAAAGCATCCTGTTTCAATCATCTTTGAAACATATAAAACATAAATTAAGTATCCATACAAGCCTCTCAAACACACTGCATTCATCACCCACTTACTCTGAGTGGTTACTCCTAACAAGCTAAAAATATGTCAGTTTCATGCTACTAAAACTACATCATTTGCAAATCTACTTGAAGGAAAGCACAAAATCTATATTAACTCTTCTTGAGCACTGAGACAAATTTAAAGAACAACAACATGAGCACTATCATGCAGGCAAGCACTAAGATGCTCCTTCCCTTTTGTAAAGAATTGTTCCTGCCTATAATGCAATGAGCATACATTTTTAGAATCAGAATGGATTTGCTTTGTGTATCATTAAATACTTGCTTTTCTTTTTGTCGGTTCAGCTCACTTCAGAACGCTCTAGCCTAACATTTTATACTATGGACTAAACTTCAAATGAGAATTATCAATACAGAATCCCAGACTGCTCATTCAGCAGCCTTAAAAGGAAGTCTCACTTTACTAATGTTGAATAGTTTGCTTTGAAAACATAGAAGAGGTAAGCTGTGATTCTGTATTACTAAGTCACTTGGATATTCTATTGATGCTTGGGCACGATACAGTGAAACAACAGCTTCCAAGCAAGCCTATTAGCTGTTTAACAGTATGAAAACTATCTGCCTATGAAGAGTAATACTTCATACATATGGCAGACGAAGAAAACATGGTGACAATGCTGCTGAAGTCTTGTTGATTGCAGTAAGATGTCACCTTTCATTTTACACATATTGTGGTCCTTCAATTTTTAGTAATCAAATCTTTTCTGAAATATATACCTCATTTTGCCAAGGGATTGAGACACAACCCGTAACAAATTTGGAATAGAAGTCATCATCTGTAGTATCCAGGTTCACTCCTTTTACTGTAGAGAACTGCTCTATGTCCAGGACATCTTTACAATACACGGCACGTGGCTGCAGTACAATACAAGATTACTTCATTAAGTTCTTTTTGCCCTAGATGAGCAGACTAAATTACATTATATTACACAACAGAAATGCAAAAAACTTCACAGAATCTTGTCATAATGCATTTGGGGAGTTCCATCCATCCTGCAAGTAACAGAACAAGAGCATCAAAAGAAGAAGAGCATTCAGCATCTGTGATTTTCTTACTGGTCCTCACAGTTTATTGGTCCTCTAGCAGCTTCCTTTCAGCTACAGAGTTGAACTCCTCAAAGCCAAACTTAATATGTTTAGCATCTGATCTGGGAAAGTTGAGTTTTCAGGGCTAACAGAAATCAGGTAGAAAGCTCTACAGTGACATACTATACTATCCTATAGCAGTATTCTCAGATGAAATGCCACAGAACAACTAGCCGAGAATATCTACAATGGTAATCTCCAGCCAATGTGAATAACTGTATAAGTTTATCTGCAGTTCACATGACAACTGACACAGAATTATGCAGTTCATGCCTTTTTAGATACTAATCAAATCTGTCTCACCTACTTACATCTGGCAAAAATGGAGGCTCCAACATGTTAGCTTCCAGCCTCTTGAAGTTAATATTCTTGAAAATAGGATGTTGTTTCACAATAGCAGCTCCATTTTCTGTGCAACCCAGTCGCTCCCCTGGATTTTTCGCAAGTAACTGCAAAGATATGAGTAAAGAGGCTGTCCTGGTGATAGGATCTCTCAGTTAAGAAGAAAAAACACAACCCTTCCTTTCTTGGTCTTTTAGAAGATGAACTTTATTGTGGTATCAAAACGAACTGGAAATTCAAATTACAACATTGTAGACAAAAGAATCCTTAAAGAAAGATAGTTACTTTTTCTGGCAGTAAAGACTAGACCAAAAGTTGTATGAAATTATTTTAATTGATACCACATTGAATAGCTTTTGCAGTAGGCTCTACTTTCAGGAAAAATCATAGAAAAAAATGTAGATCTGTGTAAGTAATTTATTTATTCTGCATGAACTAGTAAAGAAGTTTTTGAAGCTTTCTGTACAGGCACACTCCTTAATAAATTTAAGAGCACAGAAGATTAAAAATACCTGCTGTCTTAAACAGGCTCTTTTAGAGAAGGGAGGTCATGTACAACTGCAATTTCTCCACATCCAGTATCAAAGCTGTACCCTATGGTCTAAAAAACGGTGCATTTTTCATTCACATGAGAGAGAAACCACTTCATGCTGCCTACCTTAAGTTTTAAAAAGTTCAGAATTATCAAAATTTGATAAAATAAACAAGTCATGGATTGTCAGAAATGTCCACTGGAACCAAAGAAAGATCTTGGTACCCTCACTACACCTCACTCCAGCCTTGAAAAAAATTCAATAGAAGACTAAAATAAAGCAGCTCATCTCTACAAAGGGATTAGAAATTTAATTTTCAAACCTCTATGTCTCTTCACCCACCATCCTGCAAATGGATTTTGCCTCCTCAGAGAACTTGTCTGAATATGTTTCTTGGTCCTCCTTTACTCTCCGGTCAATCTCATCCCGTTTGACCCTTTCCTTATGCTTCCTGAATGGTGACTGTCCTTCAATCATTTCATAAATTAAGCAACCAAGACCCCACCAATCTGGGCTGAACGTGTATTTTTCATTTTTGAGCACTTCTGGAGCTACAAAAATAGACAAAAAACACACAATAATTTAATTAATACTCTTTTGGTACTGTACAAAAGGTCTTTAAGCAATCCTTTTTTCTTGAAGAAATGTTAATTCCTACACTGAATACTGTGTGTATCCAACAGAAGCATTTAAGTGTTTTAAAACAATCAGATTTTTTAATAAGATTAGAAGAAATTAGGTGTTTTCTTAGAAGTTCTACCTAAAGTTACAGTTCCCAAAGTTAACTTTTCCCATTTATTAAGAAAGTTTAAAACTGACTACCAGTATCTTCCACCACGTATTAAAATCTTTCTCTGCAGATCCAGTGCAGCTCTTTGGACAAGTCATTCAAGCTTGCTGGTAAAACATAACTAGCAAAGGATATTTCACATACCCATGTAACCAACAGTGCCAACTCGTCCTCTGACCGTTTCTCCTTCTGGAATCTGCACAGCTAATCCAAGATCTGAAATTCTAATATGTCCTGTTCATGTTAAGATAAAAAACTGTCAGCAAATAATAAAAATATCACTTTTATAACAAGAAATTTCTCTTGCACGCCTCATCAAAAACACCTAAATCATTAAAATATTCATATATCTCATAGAACTAAGCTTCTTTATCTAGAAAGAAGTCCCCACCTTTTTTCCCCCCTTTTTTAAACTTGTAACAGAAGAGAAGTACCAAAGGTCACACACACAGAAAAAAAAATGTTAAGTGCTCTATTCCTAGCTTTGGTATTGGCTGCAACTCCAGTATAAAAAGAAATTAATGCCTGCTTATATGGAGTTCTGTATGTACACATTAGAGATTTTTATTTTTCCATTCTGTATTCCCCTCTACAAAAAAATCTAGCTTTCCTAACAAAACATCAGAATTTAATCCATTTATTTCCAGTCAGGGAACTGTAGCCTGTACTGAAGTATCAGGTCTTCCTCTAATGAAGAGCACCCTAGTAATGCTAAGTGCAAGTAATATGCTACTTTTCTTTCTGCATAGGAGTAGGGACAGAAATTCCTAACCAGAACCTACTCAGAACTGTTGATGTTGTAACATGCCAGTCAGTCCAGACCATTCAAGGATTTGTTTGTTTGTGTTTTTGTTTAGTTTTATTTCTGGTCTAGAAAGCTTCCTAGATACTGCATCACCCCTCTAGGTATCCCGTTCAAATGCTTGACATTCATTTGCACCTGTTTTCTTTGTCATTCAAAAAGCAGTGCAGCATCAGCGTTAGTTATTGTTAGCATATTAATTTCTTTTTTACGTATGCTAAATAATCATGGTGTGGGAAAGACTAGAAAAACTTAAGTGCCACTTTTTATGCTGGTTAGAAATAATTAAATGCTCCTGAGCGGTAAATGCTATTTTAAATATTCAGATGCTCTTCTGTTCCCCAACATCTGATGAACCCCTTTGTCAAGTGCAGGATCTGAGCTCCTGAAGCCATTTTCTAATTAGCCTCCTCTGCTCTCTGGAACAAGATCAGAATATCCCTGCCAGAAAGAAAGCATTCTAGTGCAGTCCTGTACAGCTACATTTTTCCTCAAGGAAGCCTGTCACTTTTGCTGGAGAGAAGAATTAAAGAATGTATTTGATGTGTACCAAAGCTTTAGCTGTTGCAAAGTGACTTCTCCCAAGCATCTTCTTTTTCAAAGTTTATCAGTCAGAACACGCTGACTTCAAAGACTAAAAATAAATCCTGTGTTAACGATTCCAAAAGCAGTTTTTCCTTTAACTGAAATACTCAGCAATTACAAGATCAAACTGGTAATACTCAGCCACAGCTTAAGAGAAGGTAATTGCTGCACATGTTCTACAGTGAGTTCAAAAGATTTCGGTAAGTTTAATACAAAGTCATTAAAGAACATTAATTTGGCTTCTGGGGAAAAAAAAGAAAAATGTATTTTTTCATATTGATTTGACTCTCCCAAGCCACATCTACACTAGCAACCATCAGAACTTCTGTTTTTGTTGAAGTGTTGAAACGAACACTCACACCTCAGATTTCTTTCCTCTTTATTGCTTGACATCATATTTTACTCTTTAGGTGTAACTCTGACCTCAAAGCTAATAAATTAATGTAGCAAGATAAACAAAAAGACAAATAGAAAGAAATCCAGCTAAGTTTTAATCATATTAAATCAAAGGAAACGGAGAAGAAAAGAAAAAAGGTCATTATGAGAGGAGAAATGGATCCCTTTCATATTACATGTAATTTCTCACTCTCTTAACCCCAGTATTTTTTCCACATTCTCTAAGAAACAGGGACAGTTTTAATTTACTAATGAAAATACACTAGACTTAGTATTTGTCACTCAAGTCCCTCCTATCACAAAGATACACTGTGCAAGAAATTAAAGAGATTAGAAAGTATGTTCTGTAATTCCTGATTTCAAAATTAATTTCAATTATTTACTTACCACAGTCGTCAAGGAGTATATTTTCAGGCTTCAGATCTCTATTAATTAAAATAAATAAAAGTGTTAATTATACAGAGGACAAGATTATCACTTATCATGAAATGTAACTGGGGCAATATAGGACTTCTGATAACAATTCTGATTAAGGAGGTCCAGATCATACCTACATACAAAAAAAAAAAAAAAAAGCTGCAAAGTTGAGGACCTATAAAACAAACAGTATAACCACAGAACCCTTGACTTACCTAAATCTTTACCCTATTTAGGTTAAAATAGCAATTTCACAGATGAGAGTCTCTAGATAACACCAGCATCTTTACACTAAAGCAACTTACATCCAGCTTGTGCTCATAAACTAAAGAGAATTAAAGAGCTTTCTCCTGAGCATATCAGCCATGTAACTTCACAAGTTAAAACAAGCCAGCACTTGCTGCAGCTTGATGCTCTACTCACTTTGTTTCTTTTGGATGCGCAGCTTCACTAGAAACATTCTTCTGCAATTAAATGGCAGCAAAAGTCAGGAAAGAGTTAAAGAGGTATTAATTTTTCTTTTTTTTTAATGTTACAACTGTACCCTTACAGATGCTGAAAAAGAAGCTCTTCATGTACAACTACAACAAGATAAGGTTCTAGTATAAAAAGCAGGAAACTGTGAATAACTTAAATGAAATAGCTTGAGAAAGGATCATTCTAGCAGTTACATTCGAAATGAAACAGACAAACGTTTCTTCAAATCTGCGTTACCTTTTCTCTCCAGATATTGCTAAATTCATGCTCTAAGGCATGTGCATTTGTGTTAGTTTCATTACTTCATAAAATAAACATACAAAAGTGTTTTCCCTATAAATCTTTATGTCTGAACAGTCCCTGTAATGGGACCTTCGATTCACATCAGATACAAGTTTATAATATCAGGGAAACCAGGAGATACTGAGATTAAAAGAAAAAAAAAAAAAACACAACAAAACTCATCTCAAATTTTAGGCAGAAGCAAGTCTGCTGTAAAACACATAATGAACATTCAGATGAGTTCAAGTAAACAGATCTAAAAACTTCTATCCAGTTCCCAGAAATCTGGTTAAAGCCTAACCTAAAACATAATACATAGAGAAACAACTTAATCAAAGCTAATTCTGTTCTTCGATCCACCAACAGTTGTTATTAGAACTTACTGAAGCTAGAATTCTAGTTGTGTAACGCTATTAGTTTCTAGGCCAAACAGTTAACAAGAAGTAAAGCTCTGAAACGTCAAGAATTTAGCTACCAATTCTAGCTTTGGGATGCACTGGGGCATCATCTTTCTCCCTCGTCTGTTCCTCCACTGTGAGAGAAGCCAAAGTTTCTGTGGAAATACACAGGCCTTGGTCCTGCAGTGGACAACAGACTACCTCAACTGAAAAGCAAGCTCAGAATGAGAGCCAAAAACAATTCTAGGAACAGGAGCTTCAGCTTTCCTCTCATAAAGCAGACTTTATGTCTGCAATCTTCACAAAACAAAGGTGCATGTTGAAAACAGACTGAAAAATATATATATTTTTTAAATTGAAGCAAGCATGCACTCCTCTGTTTATGCTACAGCTTATACCACCATACCTTTTAGAACAGAGGCATTTGCTCCGCACTCTCATGCAAATCCTGATTTCAATCTACCTATTATCAAACATTTTGTGTAACGGATTAACAACTCTGCTACTGCTTGTTCCTGTGTTCACTTACTTTTCTGATGGCACCAACACATGGCCAGTTACAGAGAGTTTCACAAGCTAACACAAAACATGTGAACTGGCTCAATCCCTACCAGGCAGAACAGGGCCCTCCTTCCAGATCTGCACCTGTTCTTCTAATCCAGTGGGAACTCCTCTCACAGAATGGCACAGCCACCTCCAGGGTACTCAGGACAGCTCTGATAGCACTGCTGACATTGAGCAGTAGCTTTCATACTGACATGTGGCCCATACTCTAAAAACTGATGTTAAAAGAGAAGAAAGATAGGCCTGGCTTTTGCACATTGAGGCATTTTGCTAATGATGGCAACACGTGCCAAATATAATAGAATTTAACATTAGAACTGCCATTCTAGATCTGAACAAACTAACAAGATGAATTGATTTTAATTTCATCTACTGATGCCTGCTTGCACTGAGGAATTTCATTTCAGAATTTCTGAATTTTCCTTCTTCCACTGCCTTTACAGCACACTTAACTGTGAACATATATTTTTGTGATTATCCATATATTTTCAACAGAAGAATTAGCTGCTTTAACAGTTTATGCTGTTTACCGTCAGAAATAGTTTCATTTAAAATTCCTTCTTTAAAGGTAGAGAATGAATATTGTAATAGGTCCCGTGATCTTATCAGTATTAAATATTTATAAAACAGCCAGAGTAGAACACTCCTTGCTCCAGAAAACAAACAAATATTAGTTACCTCCACAGGAGAACAAACTGCAGTTTCAATGAAGATATAGCTCAGGTGGTTCTGTCCCCCACAACATTATGACTGCAGGTGACCAGAATTTTATTCTCACTAAAGAAATTATAATTATGGCCAATTTTTCCAATCCTTTTGGTCCATCAATCATACACAGTCATGTACCGACTTCTAAGTGCACTGCCTTTAAGACGCTTACAGAGGATTTCAATCACGTAAGATGTCACTGCAATTAGTGACAGATTATTTCTACGATCCTTTTTCAGTTTATGATTATAAAAACGTAGAACTTAACACAATGCTCCTAAATAGATTATACAAAAATAAAGAAATATGAAGCAAAAAATCTAGATCAGGATAAAAAAAAAAACTACTTTTAGCAGAGAAGAAAAAAACAAGACTTTTGCATGAAGTTGGTCATTCTTTATTAATAGGAATAGGGCAAAAATAGTTCTACAGAGAACATAAAATTATCCAACCATTTTCTAAATTTAGCCCTCAAATGTGTTTGAGCTGACATTGTATAACCAGAGTCACCTTTAATCTGTTTACATTTTGGGCAGGAACCCCCTCACTATGTTCTATACCTAATTGTTTAAATAATGACATAATGCCTTCAGGTATTATGATTAAATTTAAGCCCTTTCTTCTTCCCCCTGAGAGTACAGAATATTCAGTTGGTAACACCTGCACTGTCTCTTTGTCTTTCATTATAAGATGAGGACTAAAAAAAAAGTCTTATAAGATGCAATTTCACTCAGGAGCTGCTTGTGAAACTACTTTTCTGCTTCCTCAATTTGTAGCAGCACATACCAATTTCTAATAATTAGAAATCAGTTGCATAATAGCACAAAAAAAGGGACACATTTTGACTCCAAGACCACTCCAAAGTAAGCAGTTAGAGACGATGCTAGGATTCAAGGTGTTTGATTATCTAGTATGCAAATTGTTAACAAGTTGAACACAAGGGCTGTGGGTTTGGGTTTTGGCTTTTAAACAATTACTTGTTTGGGAAACATGAAATGACCTGCTTGTAGCTGATTCACATGAGAACAATGAGCAAAACCAAGACTCTTAAATTTACCCTCTCTTCCCTTTTGCCAAAATACACTGCACATCATTGCAAGACTGGCCAAATCTCTTTAGGGAACAATGCATAAACAGCCTGATTTATTCTGTGGTTCTGCACTTCCCGTGAGACTGACTGCTGTGTAGGTATGTTAATTTTCCATACTGAGGACAGAAAAGGCTCACTACATTAGCATTATGCAAGACTAACTTTTTTACCCTTTTACATACCACGCAAGGCAGCAAAGCACTTCAATCTCCTGTTAACATCTACTTTAGAATTGTTTTTAATGTTTTAGGATATATCAGGTATCAGGACTGGAATAAACAGTAAGATGACAAATATTAGTAATTCTGAAGAATGTCAAAAAGACTATTACAAATTACTGTGAAGTTAAAGTACAAGCTCATTTTAACAAAAAATAATTTGTATGTTCAATGCTGAACAGACATGGTGATGCCAAGGTATGAGTTACAGAAGACTGTACTGACCTGTAAACAATTCTCTCCTTCTGCAAATCCTCCAGACCACAGCACAGTTCTGCAGCATAGAAAATAGCCCTTTCTTCATCAAAGCCAGGATTTCCCATGTTATATATGTGAAACTTCAAATCCCCTCCATTCATTATGGTTAACACTAAACACAGGGCATCTTTTGTCTCGTATGTATAGGATAAACTAACCTAAAAAGAACAGAAGGGAGATGACGACCATTATTCACTCTAACTCCAATACAATTCTCAGATCCTTCTTCCAATATAAGAAAAATATGAAGTCGTTTAAAAAAGCAAATATGAATAAACCAGCAAACCAGAGAGCTGTTACTGCCCAGTAAGATTACACCTTGAGACGTCCACCTACAAAAACTCTGCACAGAACTGTTTGTAATCACATACAATTCTGGTTATTACACCAATCATTTATCTTTGCAGTCACACATTCTCAAAATCAATTACAAAATGTCATGCCCATAAGCCCCTGAAAAGACTGAAACTGAGCAAACAATGCCATACAAACTCACAAGAACAAGACTAGAAGTAGATACTTACTACAAACCTACTATTCACTTTTTCCAGAATTCTTTTTTCATTTAGAGCCATGGATTCTCCTTTCCTCTTCTTTATTCTCTTTTTTTCTAGCTTCTTACAAGCATACATTTTTCCTGTTGCACGTACTTGACAAGCACACACCTAGAAAGGAGATGGAAAGCATGTAAGAGACGTGAACTTTATGCATACATATATACACACACACCAAAATTTATTCTGCTTTATTTTCCCTAAGCTCTTAAACAATTTCAGAAAAATAAGGGGTCTGTAAGTATCTATTAAGTACTTTCACCCAAACAACTTAAGAGGGTCACAAAAACTGTAACAGAAATGGAAAAGAGGTTACACAGGAGCCGATGCTTTTTGCTAAAGCTCAGTAAAACTGCAGATCTTGTGTTGATGAAACTCTTGACTTTGGAAACTGCAGGACATAGGACTAACATCCACATCATATTCAAAGAGAAGAAAGGTTAGTTTAGTAATCGTCCTGTCCCTTCAAAACAGAGATACATTTGTAACATCAAGAAAAAAACAGAGCCTTATAAACAGAGTGAAATAAATCTAGGTTTTCACACTGAGTTCAGGAATGTAACTCATAATTACTAGGTAGGAACAAAACTATGCTCTCATCACCAATTAAATTAAAAATTTTAAACAGAAGGAATTATTGCAATAGACGGGGCAGTTTCCTCCAGCTTTGTGCATGACCTACAATATTGAGACTAGCACATTAAAGTGTTTTAGATCAATGACAGTTCACCAGTTGACATCAAAATTTAGATTGTTAGAGACAAGAGTTAAACCTGCTTTTCTTCTGTATTAACCTTTAAGGATGGCCTCACAGAAAAATGCCTCTGTACTCACCTCTCCAAATCCACCTTTTCCAAGAACTCGGTAATGCCTAAACGTGTGTTTGGTTACTGGTTGCCTGATAAGAAGGAAACAAATAATGCAACAAGAATTGTAAGAATTTGCAGACCCCTTTCCACCCCAAAATCTGTCTTCAATTTGCCCTTCCTGTTCTTTAACATCTGGCTGAATAACAGTTGCCTTCACTTCATGAAGATAGCACATAATAAATCGAATTCAAAATGAGAGGGGAATTCTGACTGGAAATATGGGTTCCCTTCTGTAAGTAAATACTACTTAAACCAAATACGGAGCTAAACACTAACAGGAGTTCCCAGGATTGGTATCCCATTACACACTTAACAATAAATTCGCATTTACTTTATGCAGATTCACTGCATAAAGACTCTTGAACAAATACTTCAGTTAGCTCATCAACACTTCCATTGTCCCAGAGTCATCCCTGAATCTTGTCTTTCAGATCATGATTTTTCTAACAGGCATTGTGTAACAAGCAGAACAGTTCAGAAAGCCTAACAGAATTATAACATCAAAGTTATTGAAGTACACTTACTTCTCCAGCCATTTCCACTGTAAAAACCGGGAAAAATACACACTTTCTTGGTAAGCTTCAAAAGGTCTCCTGCTCAGGTATTCATGGACAATTCTAGCAACAGGAAAATAAATTCAGACTTGCACTGAAAAACTGATGATCAGCGTAATTAGTGTAGCAGTAGGCAGAAACACTGTCACTGCACTTACTAATGGTTTTAACCTAGATGTCTCGAAATGAGCTGCAATCATAGGAAACTATTCCTTGCCAGACCACTAGTAAATGCCAAAATAACTGCTACATACAGTAATCAGGAAGTTCAAGCACTGTATTTACATTATCTGTCTTCAAGCCCACCTAAACATCAGCCAACCAGCAGCTACACAATGCAATTATGACCCCAAAATATGACCTATGAAAGGTATTTACAGGAAAGGATCTACGAGATTTTATACATCCTTTTGACTTGGATGAGTGAAGTTTCACTCTATGGTTTGAAACTGGAATACTAAATAACACATGCAAATCTGAATTCCATGCATCTTTATTGCTTCCCTCTTAAACTAAGCACACCATGGTAATTAGGAACACAAGTCATTCAAACCATATGCAGACAGTTACTGGACAATGGAAAGACAGATCTTCCATTTGAGACATGTTTTAGTAGGTGTTCTGACACATCCCTTTCAATCTTCTAATCTCAGGTAGTTATAAAGCACACTTATTTTTGTTGCCACGGTGATGACCCAAGCAGTGACAAAACATGTTGCAAGCCTCCAGACGTGATCAAGCATGCCTTGAAAAACCAGTAATATTAGAAACATGAAGGCTTTCCAAAGACATGCAACACTGGTAAACAGGTATCGTTCCTCCAAGAAAACCTTCACTGCTGCAGCTGTGTGAAATGTTGCTGCATGATTTCAGAACAAAGTCTGTGTGTGATAAGTATCATAATCAATCCTCTAATCAGTCATGTTAGGGGAAGAATAATTAACCTGTTTTCCAGAACCATGAATTGTCTAACACTGCTCACAAACCTTTCACATGCCAATTTACAACTTCATTCTTTATAAATGCTTTCATCGTGGAAGAGAGCACACTCAAATGTAAAATATATAATGATGAAATAGCATTCTAACTTAAAGCATATTACTTGTTAACAGATAAAATAGCATTAGATCTTCAAGAGACTTCAGCAAAAATAGCGTTAAGAAAAAAACTCTTAAAGAAAAAAGCAAATGAATAATTTACAAAAGAAACTCAGTCCTTTTAATGAATCTGTTTCAAATCTTTCACCTACACTCATGTCAGAGACACACTTCTGGGAGTAATAATTTCACCTTTCATCTGTCTCAGGAACAGAAGTTTACCTTGTGATATTAAAACATAGTACTGTGCATTTTAACCTACCTAGTACAATCCACAAAAAGATCTTTAGAAGGGTTCTCTTCCAGTCTTGCTTTACATTCATTTACTGTTTCCTGAGGTATTTCTGGCAAGTGTGCTGCAGACTTAATTTAAAAAAAAAAACAATAAATAAAAAAAGGCAACAATAAAAGCAATATTGTAATTAGTAGAATGAGTAAAAGTTCTGCTCCAGGAAAAGAAAGGGAATGTTTTGGCTAACAAGGAAACTGAGAAAGTCTTTTTTTTTTCGTCCCCCCAGTTAAGAACTGCAATAACATTCAATGCATTTCTGTTTCAATAACCTGAGAAACAAGTTTGGCTATAATGCAACAATTTTCTTTTTCTTTTGGTAGGCCTACCACCACAAAAGTAAGTTACCTATTTGCTTTGGAAGGATGGAATGGAGAGAACAGAAACACCCAGTCTGGGACGTGATTTCAAACTAGCCCAAAATGTTTTTCACCAAAACAGCATGTGAATTATGATAGCCCCAAAGAAACTATTTGAGGGGATAATGGTAAACCCAGAATCTGCTTCTAAAGCAGCAAAAAAGGTATTAATGTGGGGCAAGGCCTTTTCAAGAGGGCCAAATCAAGAGAAGCAGAAGAAACTAATATAGAAAGCAAATGTGCTATTACATATCAATAGAAAAGCCTCCATTATACATCAGAGAACAAATCTTAAAAAAATCTGATTTAATAATATGCTAAAAGTTAGATCTGAATGATCTCCATGCAAGATGACAAACAATGTTATAGGAAAAAAAAACCACATCATCTGACTTTGGAAGGACCTGTAGCAATTCTGAAAAATTGCAGTAATCCAACAATCATTGAAAAATAAAATGAAAATTCTAGGAATTTCAAAAATTCCTAATTCCCATGTCCTTAAACTAAAAACCTCTGGCTAGGTTGCTAATAAGCCTTTTTCAGATGCTGAACAAGTTTGCTGTATGTTTAAAGAATACATACTTACTTAACAGCAGTATTTTAATTTGAAAATACGTGAGTAAATCCTAATGGCAATAATTGTAAAAGCAGGGACTGGTAAAGGTTTCAACACAAGCTGGTAAGTTTCACAATTTCAGAAAGCCAAAAATTGGACTAATGAAAATTCAAAGTCAATTTAGTAACAAACAAAGCAACTACTTTGGTGTGCAGCTTGTCAGAAGTTTCCGGCACATTCACACGTATCTGATGCACATCTCACACTGCACTCACCCCGTTAGTGAAGTAGGTCTCCAAGACTTTCAGGCCGCAGTCTATGCGCTTTTCATCTGAAGATACCTCATATTCTGCCTATGGGAATAGAATAACATTACGTTTAGTTTCTTTTACCTTATGCTAGCTAAATTTTAATCACGAATAAGAAAAGCTACCAGTATAATGGGAAATAAAGGATCCCATTAAATTTATTCCATAGGAACTACTTTTAGAAAGAAAATATTAAACATATGAGTACTGAAAATCTACAAGGACTGGCAACTACAAGTAATTCTAAGGAATAATCTAGAAGCAGACATCAGAAGTTACAACATTTAAAGATAACACAAAATCTGGGGAAAGATTAATTGAAACGTAACAATCTCAAACAGCAACCTGCGTTAGCTTGGTAGGCTGATCCAACTCAAAGCTTATTTCAGATCTCTAAATGTGAAAGCATGCACATAAGAGCAAAGCAAATACAGCAGGCATCCAGAATGGAGGACTGCATCACACATAACCACCGTTTATTATGACACTCATTAAAAATCAACAGCCACTAAAAGCCTCAGAGTAAGTTCCAAGTGATTGACCTAATCAGTGAAAAAGAAGCCATATACCTTTTTAAAGCATCCATGAAATGACAGTTAAAGAAAAAATAAACACCATACTGGAAATAACAGAATCCTTCAACTTCATTTCTGCAATCAATCAGCTAACCCACACTGACTCACTATAAAGCCATCAGCATCATCTTCTGATGAGACATTATGGTATCAGCCAATCCAACACATTTCAATCCAAAACAACTGCAAGCCAATGGTTTTGCTACTTGAATTCCAGAACATTCAAGTCTAATGGTAAGGAATTCTTCTTCAACTACCAAACAAGCTTAACTTTTCTGACCTGCTACCCAACCACAGCACTTTCCACTTTTAACATTTTCAGTTATGCTAATACTGTTGAAATACTGTTTTAAACTTGATATTGTAATTTAAAAGGAAGTTTAAGAGACTTGTCAGCTAACCTCTGTTACTCACATAGCTTGAGAGGGAAGTATGAGTTGCTATTCCATTCTTATTCATACTTGAGTAACCCTGTCCCCAGCTAGTGAAATGAGTCACTTAATGATTGGATAACTAATTCTGCCTTTGAATTTGCTGGTTTTATTCAACGATTTCACAACCCTTCTTTCTGGGAAGCCACAAGCTTACTCCAGACTTCAAGGTCACACCTTCCCAAGAATTAAAGCTTACCAAGCTCAGTACTCAAAGCACGCAGACAAAGTACCACTTTAATCTTGTCATTTTGGCCTCCTAAATTTAACATGCACCTGAAATCATATGGCTTTATACAAGAAAATGGAGATTAAAAGTCCAGAAAATAAAATCAGACTATTTGGATCATCCAGAAGAGGCAGCAGGCACTACATCTCACTTTCTTGACCGAGAGAGCAGGCTAGCTTTCAGATGATGAGGCTCAGATTAGAGGTTATCTTAGCTCTTCCGAGACTTCTCTTTTCAATGATTCCCAAGTGTTCTTCTTCACAATGATTTGTCAAATGGAAGTTTGAGAAAGGAAAAGCAAATCACAAAGTCATCCCTTACATCAAATTATCTCAGCCATGTCAGACTTTGTTACATTCACAGAAGCATTACAATCCACAGGCACATTAAAACTACTCAAACTATTAAATTAGTGTAAAATGAAATTACTTCTTTGAAACAATTCCACCTGAAAAAATGGCATCTGCTAAGCAAAGACAATGATGCCTCACAGACATCACATTTTTTTCCCTTTTATACTGTTTAAGATTCTATTACACCTTACATAAGCAACCTGTAGGGCTGAAAAGTACATACAGAAGTTGTAACAATAACATTACATCCACATTTGTCAGCGCTCTCTCCACTGCGTGCTGCCCATCAATGGCTTCTGTTTATGTACACCTAACAATACTTAGCTCCACTGTTCTGGACTTCCATTTAATTCATTCTATGTATACCGGTGACAAATTGGTCTCTGGAATTTGGTGCTAGAAAATGCTGCTAAGAGTCACAAAATGATGGCAAAATATACTGGGAACATAGGCCTCATTGCACAAAGATTCATTGACCAGAGGAAAACAGTTACTGCTGTCAGTCATCACACAGAATGAAAATAAGATGTTTTTTACTTTACTAGAATAAATATTATTTGGGATTCTATAAAAGAAAATGGATACCAAATGACCACAAATAGAAGGCAATTCTACTTCTCATTTCATACCAAAAGTTTCTTTAAGCTGACCAAGTGTGAAGGAAAAAGGGAGATATGCAGAAGTGGGGGCATGGCCATAACCTCGTGTGCTTCCTTACACCCTGTATCTTTTAAGATCATCTCACATTCTCAGAGTGTAAATTGTTATGTATGTAAGCAGCAGTACTTCCCTACTTCTATCTTCAATCATCTGGTCCCTGAACATAAATTAGAACAAAAATGAGTGGGAAAGTTGTTATTTTGACAGCAATCTCAATTTCGTATTGTATTTCATAGACCTTGGTTTAATTATGAAGGAAATGCACAGAATAAGTGCTCTGATCTGCTATACACTCTTCTCCTAAGGACAGTTGTATACACACATACTCTACACACTGTGTTCTCCTCCCCCATGTGGATGCAGTGTGAGGTTGTGTTTTGTTTCTTACCAAACATGGCTGTGGGCACACTTCCTCTTTCCCCTCATTCTTTACAGTTAGATACCAAAATGCAGACGGATCAAGCCAAAACACTTCCTTTTCCCTTGCTCTCTAGAATTTGATTTCCCTCCTTCCACAGTTCCCTAGATACTCACCTCCGTATATTTTTACAATTAGCAATGTCTGACCAGTCTTGGGCTTCCATGGCAGTAGCAACATTTTCAAGTCTGCGTAAGTTACACTTATTGTAAACACACCCTTTCAGGTTCAAGACGACAACAGCATGATCCCATCATGCCTATACTTCTGACCATGCCAAAACTGCAGAGATTTTAGAGCAAACAATTTCCTCTCTGCTGGGTCACTTTTCTCAGCTGCCTCTCCTTTCTTGAGCATCACCAGACTACTTTCTGGTGGTGCAGACTGACAAACAGAAGACCTTGATGCTGTATAAACATCAGATAGATAATACTGATGTGTGTCTTACCAACAGCGTTTTGGCCACAAATCCAAAACATAGGATCTAAAGCTACTACAAAAATAAATCAATTCTATCTCAGCCAAAATTCATACAAAAACTCAAACTTTACGTCCAAAAAAAACCCCAAACTGCCACCAAACTTTTTTATGTCTAAGTTCTCACTGCTTACCACTGCATCCAGAAATTCAATGCATCTTTTCAAGTCTGGTCTGGAATCACAGAACTGCCTGAAGAGAAGTCTTCCTATCGGCTGCTTGTCACAAAGCTGGTTATAATCTTTTTCTGAGAAAAAGATGAGAAATAAATGTTTATCTTTTCCCATAGCAAGATCTTACTCCCATAACAATGACAGCAATGAAAAGAGTTGCAATTATTCCCCAAATACTTAAACATTCTTCCAAGCACATTTGTCTATTATAGACTATTCACATTTAGAAATAACAAAAATTGAATGCTTCACTGAAGTTTCATTCAGGGCAAGGTTAGAAATAGAGAATGCTCTGAAACAGCAATGCCAAAGCAAACAAGATTATTGCAAAGAAGGAACATAAAATAAAAACAGAACAGATTAGAAAATTACTACAAGACTAAGACAAAAGAAAGAAGATATTTCCACGTCATTCAGACTACAATAAGGATTTCCTTTTTTAGTTCATGGTTTTGTGAATTTATCTTCCATGAGCAGTTTCTTTTAAGAAATACAGAGCTATGATACAGCTTGTATCTTTTCATAAATGCTCATTTACAACTGCGGCAGGTTTCTTTTTTTTGGTATTTCTTTTCTAATCTACATTGAAAGCAAGACAGCAGTCTCCCATTTAACAGCAGCATACTCCTACCCTTCCTCCTCACACTGCTCTACAGGACACTCACCAATTGAGCATCTAATACCTTCACATTGACTAACAGGCGGCAACTTCAGCATCTCCCTCCATTTTTTACTACGTCCACTCCGTTTGCCTAGAAGGAAAAAATGCAAAAATCAATGTAAAACAAGACTTCAGAGTATGTTTCAATTCTAGACAGCATAACATCAGGTCATGATCTGTCCAACTGCTTTCTTGTCTGAAAAGAAACCTCATCTTCGAGGACATCCAAGCCAGTAACAAACTTGACATAGAGGAACTTTTATCTAAGTACGACAGGGTTTTTTTGTTCTTTTTGGGTTTTTTGCAACAGAAAGATTCTGCATTTTAACTGCACGTGAAGAAACTTCGCAAAGAAAAAGTGAATACAAGTTTTGAGAACTGCAAATATCAGTAAAGTCAGAAACAAACAAAAAATGTGGGAGTTATGTCTCAACCTTGGTGAAGAAAAGAAATCCCTACAGTCATGGAATAAAATAAATATGTTTTAAAATACATTTTTAGATAAACAAGTTGCACTTTTTTGAGGACAGTGAAGGTAATAATAATAGATCATCAGTGAAGACATGATAGCAGACAAAACTTAACTGCTATAGTATCCAGACCTCTTCAATGCTTCAGGTTTCAGTACCAGTTTTAAATTGATTTTAAAAATCTACAGTATTTTTCCAATTAGGAAGCTAATTATGGAGATTTTCCAATTAGGAAGCATTATGGAGAACCATTTTCTGTGTTCAAATTGAAATTTTACACATCACTTTGACCTGAAAAGGCCAAAAGCATTTGCAGAAGATAAGCACACTTCTCAAAACAGCAGCACACATACAGGAACAGAAAAATTTCTCATTGCAAAACATTTCAACGGAAGACAAATTTTTGTGCTGCAGAATATTCTAAGAGATTTTGTTAAACATACGGCCAGATGCATTTCCACATGACAGAATAGCAGCAAAAACACCGACTCACTTTCTAACTGCACCAAAGCAACACATACTGTTAACCACAATAGGAGAGAGAGGAAGGGAGTTACCCTGTGTAACCTGAATAGAAACCAAGCAGCAAACAGTACCGTTAAGTCTGAATCGTTAGAAAGGAACTAATACCTTCAGAATAATAAAACAGATAAAAGAGCCCTCTAGTATACATCTTAGTTCCACCAGTGCTGTCACAGCAGTTCAAAAAGTTGCAGTTCACTGGACCTTAGTTCATAGCAAAACACGCTTGACCTGTGCTGAGACTGCTGGTCATTTTGTTGCTGCTGCAACACGACATCCTCAATTCCAAAATCAACAGATAAGGAATTAGAAACACAAAACCTTAAAAGCTGGCTTGTAGAGATTCTCTGAACTGATACTTACTGCCTAAAAACCTCTCATTTCCTAACATTTCCGCGCTCTCATTTCCTAATGTTGCTTTGCAAGTCCTTCACCTTCTGAAATACTTTAGAACACAGATACATCTGTGTGTATTTTTGCAGTATCAGAAGGAAAGATGAAGTTGTGATATTACCAGCATCATTAAAGCAAACACCTATCATTTCAACAAAGTATTTTTGATGGTCAAGAAAAATAGTTTAATATGCTTGGAAAAAAAAAACAAAAAAAACCAAACCAACAATTCAGAGCAAAGGTGCACTTCTAACAGAACTGAACACAGACAAAAATCAAGGAATACCAAACTCTGACAGCCTGTACACATACACCAAACAGAAAAGGACAGGGTATAAATCAATACAGGAGCATGAAAAAACATTATTCTGAAGCATTAACCTGATTTCTAACCACACCATTAACCATGCCCAGATTATTCTAACAATGCCCAAATCATGCTAACACAGACTCATTTGTGCATGACACAGCATGGTGGGTATAGAACCAAGAAAGATAAACTGACCTAAATTCATAGCACTTGGAAAAAAATAAAACCAAACTGTGATGCATGCGTAGTCAAAACCAAACCAAGATATACACGTAAGTCATTTTCTGAAGCATGACTAGTGAAAAATAGTACTAAAAGAAGAATTTGTGCATTATGCTTCAAATCCAACACACAAAAGATTGCTTGCTATGTGTCACCACAAATATTTGGCAAGCTGGTCACTACGTGACCTTTATGAACTTCATTCTGCAGGAGACCATACACTCTAGTACAGTTTTTACCATCTTCTAGAATTCACTGGGTAGGGACTGTTTGTAAGGGCATGAAGCGACAGAACAAGGGGAAATGGCTTTAAACTGGAAAAGGATAGATTTAGACTAGATGTAAGAATGAAATTCTTAACTGTGAGGGTGGTGAGACACTGGAAGAGGTTGCACAGAGAGGACGTGGACGCCCCTTCTTTGGGAGAATTCAAGGCCAGGCTGGATGCGAGCAACCTGGTCTAGAGAGAGGCGTCCCTGCCTACAGCAGGGGTTGGAGCTAGATGTACTTAAAGGTCCCTTCCCACCCAAACTGTTCTATGATTCAATAAAGAGAACTTTATTAATGATACATCAGAATCAAATAAATAAATGCTTTCTCTCTGCTCTGCACTGACCTTAAGATTTAAAGGGAATAAGAAGAAAAAGTCTTTACCATTCAGTAATTTAAAGAAGGTGCACAGATGCATGTGTCGCCCACAGATAAGATCGCCTCTTCTGGTAAATGCTACCCACTAAGTCAATTTAGTTGTCATATTATTCCCCAATTGAAAAAAAAAAAAAGAAAAGAAAAAAAAAAGAAAAAGAAAACAAAACCACTTTCCCGTTCCTGAGGTAATTTAAAACAAGTTGTGGTTTTTAAGAGTGTCTTCACACAGAGCTTCTATTTGGAACCTCATTCTAGACGAAAGACCAACTGCTCGCTTCGCAACACAGCAGCAAGAAAGCCATTAGATCAGCCTGCTTTATGGTTAACCCACGTGTTTCAGATGAATTACCACTCTTTCTCTTTCAGATGCAAGTTGCACCGTTCTGGCCAGCAATTACAGCGACTCATCTTTTATAAAAAGAAGGGTGGATGCAGCAACACAATGAGGAAACTTTACATTTGTATTTTCATGTACATAAGTAATAACTTGTTTTCTCCTACACTACTTACTTGTTAGAGCTAGAATTTCAGCATTCACTTCTTCACATGTTTTTGCCTCTTAAAAAAGTACATGATAAATTCAGTTAGTTATATGAAAATTAATTCGCTTTCAGTTTTTCAACTTTTTTTTTTTTTTTTTAAGTCTTCAAAGTAACAGCTGAAAAACACATAAGCTGGTTGGCTTATTCAGCAGTAAAAGCACAAATAATTGCCAAAAAAAGAACCTGCTGCAGCAAAACAAAGCAATCTGGTGTGGAAATACATTTAGACAATTGAGAATGTTCTTCAAGTCATTGGATAGACTTGCCACAGTGATCTTCTTTACAGACAAGGTTTGCACTGAGGCTTCCATTTCACTGAGCACAACGCTCACTGAACATCATTAGCCAGTCTTCCTTGAGACAGAGATAGAAAACTTGAATTCTGTCCTACAGAACAAAGATCATGAGAAGAATTGTCCTGTCTTTGGCTAATCAAAGCACACAGACTGTATGTGATAAGATTCAGCAGCTCATTGCCACTGACATTCTACCACTGAGCTGCTCTGCAGCCACCCAGCTTCAGCTTCCCAGCCTGCAAAGGACAAGCAAAGCATCGCTTTGGTTGAGAAGCACACAGCACACCAGGGGTGTGATTGCTACAACACCACTCTTGCAAAACTCATTCCACAAACCAGATTGTCAGATACTGGCTAAGAAATTCCTGCTTGGTCACACCCAGATGAACTCTGAGAGCACACAACTGCACCAAGGACCCACAGCGAGCCCTTAGCTCTATAAATCATTTAAGCAGTTCAATGGAAAAAAAAAAAAAAAAAAAAAAAAAACAGCAAAAAACCAACCCTGATGTGGAAGTTCTACATCAGCTACAGCAAGATGTGTGAGAATAACCCAGGTACATACTGATCCTTATAATAAGCCTGTCCCACAGCAAGATGCAGGCAAGTTTCCTACAAGACTTTAAATTGCTGTGAACTCAAGCCCCCTCCTACACACAGCTGCATCTTCCTCCAAACAGTTTATCAAAGGATTGAAGCCTTTCACTAAAGAATCAAAATACTCAAGCTCAATGAAGGCCTTATGCTACCAAGTTGTTTGTAAACACTGCATGTTAATTAATCCACTGGATGGCATGCCTTTACTGTGCAAAATTCACCTTGAAGGCACAGAACACCACAGAACCAACACCTCAGGTCCTCAGATCAGAATGGTAAACACTAAAAGCATAAAAGACTGCTGCTGACTCAGGCTAGGAGGCAAGTTCACACACATCACTTCACTGAAATGCTTGCAGCTCCAGAGGCAGCCCACACAGCCCCGCTTTGCAGGGTACCCACACCTCCATGGAGTAGGTCCTTTGTCAAGGGACTGAGGGCTCAGCAAATACAAGCCAGTCTGCTGCTTTAACAACCAGGTTTATCGAAGTGGCATCTTCTACTAAGCTTAAGAAAGAAAAAAAAAAAAAAGTTTTCTGCAGAAGTACAATACATGTATCTGGCTGGCTCTTATTTCAGCAAGTATACTTGAATCCTCCAGCTAAAAACTCAGGTTTCAGGGCAAGGAAGGCACTGAACTCTTCAGCATTATAAAGGCCAAGGCACCTCTGACCACCAACAGAAGGAAAAAAACTGAAGTAGATCAATACATAAACACCTAAAAGATACTCACAGGTTGTTACAACATTTAAAAAATATTTCTCTCACATCTGTATTCAAATGCCTTGAGATGGATTCCAGAGAGGTAAGCCTTCTGTGCTCTTGCACAACTGACTGCCAGAGCAGTAACACTGTGAGCAGCTACAGTCACACATATCTAGATGAATATTTTTGCAGCTTGCTTGTATGTAACATCATTTGGTGCTCCCAAGGCTAGAGCCATTTGAAATGGTTCTTCTCATAAGCCCTATATACAATTCCAGCAATCACATGCGTGTTATGGAATGCCAGTGCATACATGTTGAACAGTCTCTACCTTTCTTCAACAATGATATATTAAAGTCTTGTACCAACTCAAGTAAATGCAACTA